AAAAGTAAAAAGGTCTGGAGATGAAGCTCAGTGCAAAGGCCCTAGGTTCAATCACCAGTACCAAAAAAAAAAAAAAAAAAAAGGCTCTCACTATGTAGCCCAGAGTGGGCTCAAATTTGCAGCCTCCTAACTAGCTGGGATTACAGGTAGGCACTATTTTGATTTAATTTTTATGTACATGTGACATGCTTCAGGAAAACCTATTAGATGAAGGCCTCTGCCAAAAGTGGAAGTTGCCAGAAGACAGAACAAAGACAAATTCAAGGTGGCACAAAGTGCAGCGCCGCTTATCCGGGATTTACACGCAGCAGCCTGTTGTGATTAGCAACAAACCCGAGTCTGTGGCCTGAGGCACGAGGAAGGGAGCCACGCACTGAGCTGGGGCCAACTGGAAGGCACCCGGGCATCCCGAAACTCTGGTAACACAAACACACTGATCCATCGAGCTGGGACTAGCAGAGCAGACCTGTAATCCCAGCACTCAGGAGGCTGAGGCAGGAGGAGCATCTGTCACTAGTTTGAGGCCAGGCTGAGCTACCTAGTGAGTTCCTATCTCCCTTCCCACCTCCAACAAAAAGAGCAAGTTCTACAGACAATACTGAGGCACAGTTGTAGGGTTTTTTTTTTTTTTTTTTTTCAGAACCGGGGATTGAACTCAGGCCCTTGGGCTTGCTAGGGAAGCACTTATTCCACTGAGCCATCTCCCTGGTTCCTACATTTGCACATTTTTGTTTTGTTTTGTTTTTTGAGTACTTCAGGCTTGCCTCAGACTACCTGCAATCCTCCTGCTTCACCCTCCCACTAGCTCGAAGTATAGACCAGTGCCACCATACCCTGATGAGTGTTTGTGGCTTTTGTTGTTGTTTTGTTTTCAGATAAGTCTCACAGTGTAGCCCATGCTGGCCTTGAATTTACGGCAATCTTTGGCCTCAGCTTTCCAAGTGCTGGCATGTACCACCAAGCTTGCCTGTGATTTTAGGTATTTTAGAGGAAGCCTCTTGAAATTGGGCATGGTGGTACACAGCTGTAATCCCAGCACTTTGGGGCTCAGGGAGAAGAATCTCAAGTTCAACAACAGCCCCAGGGGTGGGGGACATGGCTCAGTGGAATAAGCGCTTCCCTGGCAAGTGCAAGGGCCTGAGTTCAATACCCGGTTCCACCAAAGAAAGAAAGAAAAGAACAGCCTGGGCAACTTAGTGAGATAGGGAGCCCATGTCTCAAAATTCAAAACACTAAGAATATAAAGGGCTACGGGTTCAACTCCAGACCCCCTTAATCCCCTTCAAATTCAGATCTAGTGTTTCCTCATCATTGGCCCAGGGTTAGGTGTTTGAGCCCCATAAAGACAGGACAGGGCTGGTGAGATGGCTCAGTGGTCTAAAGCACCTACTTAGAACAAGCTAAACTAAGCAAAGCACAGGGACCGTGGTTCAATCCCCCAGCACCACATGCCAGCCAGCCCCGCCCCCTGGTGGGCTGAGCTGGTCACACACACACACACACATAAATAAATAAATAAATAAATAAAATTAAAAAAAAAAAAAAGACAGGACATTTGTCCATGGGTCCTGTGGTGCCAACCTCAAGGTCACTGGTGACCTTAATCCTGGCTGCTCATCTTGGCCAAGGTGATAAAGTGGTCTTTTCATGTGGCTCACGTGACCCCATCTATGCAGCTGCCCTCACACACAGGCCTGACGCAGGCAGAGGTGACAAGGTTGGGTGGGTGTGGAATGGGCCTGACTTCATCAGGTGTGCGGGGCTGCTTCCTCAAGAAATCAGAATTCCGGGGCCAGGGCTTTGGGCTGTTGGACAGCGCACCCAGCTAGGTTGCCAAATAGTCCCGGGGGGCTGTGTGTGCTGGGCACAGGTGAGGCCAGGACTCAGGAGGCTGAGGCAGGAGGATGGCTGTGAGTTCCAGGTCAGTCTGGGCTACATAGTAAGTTCAAGGCTAGCTTGGGCTATATCATGAGACCCTGTTTCAAAAAACAGAAACCAAGCAAAAATAAAAGTCCCCTAGGGTCTCCCTTCAGCAACCTGGATCAAAGAGATCAAATTACACAGCCTACGTCTGGTTTGAATCACATTAGAGGCAAGTTAGGATCTGCTTAGTGCTGGTCTCTACTCTCTAAAGGTACACAGAAAGCATCAAAGTGTGTGTGTGTGTGTGTGTGTGTGTGTGATGTGTGTGTGTGTGTGAAGGCAAGACAAGGACACACAAATGGCACATAAAAGGTACTATGTTTTACAAACTTTTCTTTTGCAAGACAGAATCCTATTTTGTAGTTCAGGCTGGCCCTGAACTTACTATGTAGCCCAGGCTGGCCTTAAACTCATGGCGATCCTCCTACCTCAGCCTCCCAAATGCTGAGATTTTTGTTTGTTTGTTTTTGGCGGTACTGGGGATTGAACTCAAGTCACATGCTGAGATTACAGCACATTCCACTATGTCCGGGTTCTCTTGCATAAACCTTTTTTTTTTTTCTTGCGGTACCAGGAATTGAACTCAGGAGGCAGGCGCTTATTTTACTGCACTGTCCCCCCGGCTCTTGCATAAACTTCTTGATGGTCTTCCAACAGCAGTGACCATCTGCTCTAATGACTGCTGGTGCTGGGGGCACCTGAGGGAACAGGGCCAGCTCAGGAGCATCAAGGGATCTCTTTAAAGACAAGTTGGAAGCTGTGTGAAGTGGTGTACCCCTGTAATCCCAGCACTAAGGAGGCTGAGGCAGCAGGATCCCAGTGGGTTCAAAGCCAGCCTGAACTACAAAGTGAGATCTTGTCTAAAAAGAAAAAAAAAAAGTCAAGACACAGGCTGAGCCAGAGTGGAGCCTAGTACAAGGTACAAGCCATGATGCTGAAGCCAGAACCTAGGAGACAAAGAAGAGACAAAAGCCAGGCAAGGGTGGTGGTCACTCCTGTCAACCCAGCACTCAGGAGGCTGAGGCACGAGGATCACCTGGAGTTTGAGGCCACCCTGGGTTACATAGCCAGACACTGTCTCAAAGTGGGGGAAAAAAAAAATGGAGCAGTTGGAGGAACAGTCCTAGAGCTGAGGGGTGCAGAGCTGAGGGTGCACACGGTCCCCAAGATGGAAGCTGGGGAGGGGCAGGGAAGGGAAGAAGATGCTGACTTTTCCTGGAGAGAAACCACTGCCTGGCCGAGACCACCAGGGCCCCGCGTCCTTAAAGGTAAAGTGGCTGAAGGTCGGGCTTCCTAATGTAAGACCCTCGAGATGACGGCTGTTTTGTTCTTTGGCATTTTATTTCAAAATTGCAGCAAGGACAGAAAGAAAAAATTAACGGCAACGGTGGGGTCCGGCCTGAGAACGGAGAGATGCGGAGTCGAGGCCACGAAACATCCCTGACCCCCCAGAGATGAACATGGAGCAGCAGGGAGAGGGGGAGGACACCTGGCCCCCGCCCAAGTCGCAAGGCCAAGTCTCAACCGCCTATACCCAGCCCTCATGACTTTGGGAGTGTAGCAACCACCAGGGGACGCCAGAGACCCGGGCGTCCGCACGCGTATTGCACTTGAGCTTGAGTCCTGACAGGTTGGTAGGTCTGAGGTGTGGTCTGGCGGAGCCCCGCAGTGTCACACTGTGAGCATCCACTCATGGCCGCCGGTTCCATACTGCAGGACAAATGAGTGGGAGCGGGGGAGTTAAACTACAACTCCCAAGAGGCCTTTAGGTGCCCAGGGCCAAAGGCTGTTTCTCAACAGTAGCCTCATGGGAAATGTAGTCCAATTCCCCCGGCATCCGCCACCAATCACGGGGAAGGGAGGAGCAATCCAGGTAAAAGCACACAGGCTTAAGGGAGCCGAGTGCTGAGGAATTATAAAGCCCTCGCGGCGTTGGCAAAAGTGGTCAGAAGTGTAGTTCTAGCATGGAGGCTTGGGGGTTTATACAAGTTCATAAGGAAACTTTGGCTCAGAAGAATGGTAATGGTCTCAGAGGTTCATGGGAGGAAACGTTCTTGGGCTAGAGCAGAGGTCAAAGACCAGAGGCTCTTAAGTAGGAAGATTTCTGGGTGTGTGTGTGTGTGTGTGTGTGTGTGTGTGTGTGTGTGTTCCGGAACCGGGGACTGAATTCAGGACCTTGCGCTTGCCAGGCAAGTGCTTATTCTACTGAGCCATCTCCCCGGCCTCTAGGATTTCTCAACCTAAAGGCATAGATCAAGGCCTCAGGGACTCTTGGGAGGCTGACTTGTATGGCCAGAGGGAATGCGGAGATCCCAGAGGATCATGAAGGAGTGTTTGATGCCCAAGAATGAGACCCAGTGTTCTTAAAGAGTTATGGGAGGATAGAGGGGTTTCTGCGGTCCAGCGGACCCCGAGGCTGCAGAGGCTCATGGAAAGGGGGTTTCTCCCAGCAGAAGTGAAGGTGACAAGCAAAAGAATTAGGTCTGGGCTTCTAGAGCTCCCCAGAAAGTGTTATTAGCCCCAAGGGGCAGTGTTCCTGCCAAAAGAGATTCCTGGAAAGCGCGTCCGCCTGTGGCCAAGGCTGACAGGAGGGACTTATTATCTGGGACTATTGAGGAAGTGCCAGTGAACAAACCTCCAGCCACGTCCTTGTGGGTACAACTCACCTGAATTGCCCTCAGCTCCTTCTGGAAGCGGAGGATAAGCTCTGGCCCATGCTCCATGGTAGGGATATGAATGTTCTGGAGAAGAACGTGCCACGAGGCTGGGGCGTCTCCCACCGCCTCCTCTCCCGCCCGCCCGCCCTGGCAGCCCCGCCTCACCTTGCCTTCATACAGGATCCGGTGCACGGGGCAGACCTGGCAAGCGGTGCCGGAGCCGAAGATTTCCCGCACCCGTCCCTCCTCCAGCGCCCGCAGCAACTCCTTCATGGTGATCTTGCGCTCTGTTACCCGGAACTCACCCTTCAAGGCAGGAGAAGAGACAGCACGGTCCCCAGGGGCTACCTTGTGGTGGACCCCAGCCTATCTTCCCCCGAGGATGCTGAGAAAGCCAGGCAGAGAGAGGGGGGACAGAGACTCGCCAGCATGCCCCCCACCAAGTGCCCCCGAGCCTACCCAGGACTGGGCCAAGTCCAGCAGACTCTGTCTGACGACTCCAGGCAGGATGATCCCGTCTAGTGGGGGCGTCACCAGCTCCAGTACTAGGTCGGGTGTAAAGGGGGGCGGTGTTACCCACAGCCTCTATCCCTCTCCGCATCTCCCAGAGTCCCTGGCACTATAACCTCTGAGGAGAGAGGGAGTCACCCACTTCCCCCAGCGCTGGGGTTGGGTCACAGGTGAGCTCACCGCCATCCTCGTGGGTCCAGTAGATGAAGATGTTCATGGTGCCAACCTCGGTGAGCTGCTGGTCGGGCCCATAGAGCCAGAGCACCTGCTCGCAGCCCTTCTTCTGTGCCTCTCTCTGCACTAACACAGTGGGCCCATAATTCCTGGTGGATGGCAGCCTGGTCGGATTTGGGAAGGGACCCCTACCCATCTCCCAATGTGTTCCTGAAGGAGTCTTTCCGTACCAGGGCTGACCCATTCTCCCCAGCTCCCGCCCTCCTGTGCCTCCCCAGTGCTGCGGGAAGAGTCCCTGGGAGGGGTGTACCCCACCGCACGTTCCACGGTCTTTGGATTGCAAGCATACCACTGCCTTCTCTGGTGAGCCCATCTTCTTCATACCCCCATCAGGAGCTAATTCTCAAATGACCCCACCCTGCCCCAGGGCTGCCTCCCTGTAGGCCATGGGTCCCTGCTTTCCTGGGGCTGCCCCCATGGTGGGCACCCCTCAGGGGGTCTCTTCTGTTCATCTGTGTAGTGATCCCACCTTCCTCCCCCAGTTTAGGTACAGGTAACACAGGGACCCAGGGCTCAGCCTTGAGTTCACACCACGGTGACAAGGACGCTGCCTTCCAACAGTGGGCTAGGTTGCCCTGGCTGAGGAGAATAGGGCAGGGACAGTATTGACACTCAGAAACTCCCAGAGCTCAGGGGCTGGGTTCCCTGTTGGCCCAGATGTGGGGCATCCTGAGGTTGCAAGAGCTACTTACCCCCCAAGCTTGCAGTCACCAACGCCCCCCATCCAGGCTCGGATAAATGTTGGGTCCGCAAGCAGGGAGACGGGGGTCATGGAGTCTCCTGGGAAGTAGGAGCCCACAGGGCAGAGAATGACAAACAGGAGCGCTTGTGTGACACAACCAACACCCAGTGAAGGCTGTGATGGAAAACGGGACAGGGACCGCGTTAGTGGCCAGAAGTCCAGGCCCAGCCTCTGCTCTCCACTGCCTGCCCCCTCCGCCAGGCCCACCTCATTGCCGATGAGCACGGGCCGCACGTAGAGACTGGTACCAGCCCCCTCAGGAACCCAGTCCTTCTCCACCTCCACAAGCCGGCGGATACACTCGAGCAGCTCAGCCTTGTCGAAAGTCTAGGAAGAAGCCTCATGAGTTGGGGGGCCCCGCCCACCCCGCCCCTCCCTCAGAGCCCCACACACCGGCAGGCAGAGGCGCTGGGTGGAGCGCAGCATCCGGTCCATGTTTAGCCAGGGTCGGAAGAGGCGAACCCGCTGGTCCCTGCCTCTGTAGGCCTTCAAGCCCTCGAAGAGCTGCAGCGACAGGAGGCAGGAGGCTCAGTCTCAGAGACCCCGCAGATCACCAGAAGCCACCGCGGGACAAAGACTGCTAGCTACAGTACAGACAGAGCTGGGGGCAGGCTAACGTGTCAGAGACACAAACTAAAGAGACAGACAGATGCAGTGAGGAGGAGACATCAGAAAGTAAATGACAGCTGGGTGTGGTGACATGCCTATAATCCCAGCAGTAGGGAGGCCGAGGCAGGAGGATTGCTTCGAGTTTGAGTCCAGCCTGGGCTACGTAATAAGCTCAGGGTCAGCCTGAACTGCATAGTAAGAACTTGCCTAAAAAAAAAGAAAGAAAACTAACAGAAAATTTAGCCCAGCAGTTCACAGAAAATACAAACAGCTTTTTTTTTTTTTTTTTTTTGCAGAACTAGGGATTGAACTCAGGCCCTAGCGCTTGCCCAGCAATATTTTGGTCTTTCTGAGACAGAGTCTCACTATGCAGTGCAGGCTGGTCTCAAACTCACAATGATCCTCCTGCCTCAGCCTCCTGAGTGCTGGTTTTACAGGCGTGAGCCACCATGCCCGGCACAAATGGCTGTTAAGTGACAAACCCAAGTCTGGGTGAAATATAGCTTTAGGAATCCCAGCTACCACGGAGGCTGAGGCAGGAAGATGCCAAGTCTGAGTCAACTTGGGGAACTTAGTGACTGTCTCAAAATAAAAAAGAAAGCAAAGTGCTAGGGTCCAAGGTGGTGGGGCACAACTGGAGTCCTAGCACCCTGGGGGGCTGAAGAAGACCTTGCATTCAATGCATAGCATCCCCACCACTACCCAAAACGTAAGATAACAATCTTCATTCATAACTAGGAGCAAAATGCACCTTGGAACTCTGAGAACCTTTACTACCACTCGGGAGATAGGTGAGATATCCAGATTGAACTGGACGCAGCCTGCTCAGGAGTTGGAGAGACAGGCTCAGATCCCAGATGTGGAAAGCAGCACCCCTGCAGGGCGTGCTGCGACGCCTTTCCAAACCGTGGGAGGACCCGGCCTTTGCCCCAGCTGGGAAACTGGGCGGAGAGATAAGAGATGCGCATGTGCTCCCGGCAGCGCTGGACACGCTGCAAGAAGGCTGCTTATCGCCACTTGGCCACTTGGCTCACAGCAATGCAGGGTTGGAAACCGCCCAAGGGCCTGGGGTAACTGAGGAGGTGTTGGAAGGGCGGAGAGCTCCGCAGCTGGCCCGGAGACGGCTGCGAGAAGGCAACGCTGCCGCTCCGGCCTGGTTCAGACCTCCTACTTAGCCATCCTCTCCTGCTGGTCCTTGGGGCCTCCAGCCCTCCAGCTTGGCTTCTGCGCCGTCCGAGAGGCCTCTCCATGCCCTAGCAGGCTCTGCCACTCCACTGATCAGAGTCCATGGCTCCCAGATCCTTGGACAGAGTCCCCCACCCCCAGCCCCTCTGCCACCCTTCAGACACCCCGGTCTCCTCCGCTCCACTCCAATCCCACAATTCCTCCCGCACCTGGAATCTTCCCCGCCTGGGACTTCACACTGGCAGCCCCTCCTTCTCTCAGGTTAAACAGAGCTCTCTTCCAGCCTCCTGAATGGCCACATCAGGTTACACAGGGTTCTACCTGGGGGGTGGGGGGTG